TTATACTAGCTCATTATTAATAGGCCAAATAGCAGGATGTGCTAGAATTAATACAATTAATTAATGCTAACATTATCAAAAAAAAAAAAACAAGTTCAAATAAACTTAAAAACAATACTTTATTAATAATATTAGTTATACAATGCACTAAAATTAAAGTGTTTATATAATCAGTTGTTTACTGTATAAACGTTCACTTAATCAGTAATAATTACAGTAATTGTCGTTATTATCAATAATAGGTTAGAGAAAACATCCATCTGTTTGGCGGCGATAAGAATCAGATCACCATTTTTGGTGAGAGCGCCGGCAGTTGGTCGGTGTCAGCCCTCGTGCTGTCGCCGTTGGCCAACGGACTGTTCCGGCGGGCAATCATGGAGTCGGCGGCCGACTATCATAATCAAGTGGCCGGCGGTCTATTGACTACTGAGACGGCGCTTAAAGAGACACAACAAATGGCCCGACATTACAATTGTCCGCCGAGTGGACAGTCAATGGTTGACTGTCTGCGCAAACTTGACGTACAGAAAGTGGACGGCTATTGGATTACATTAGCCCCGTTGGACGGCACAGAGTTTTTGCCCCTCACAGCGCAACAGGCATTCAAACAGCGCAAGTATAACACAGGTATGTCCAACATGAAGGTGTTTTTTGTATATGGTATGGCAGTGTGTGATGTAATGTTAGGCATGGTTAGATTATGAAATGTAAAGATTGATTTTTATGTTATACGTAAAATAAGGAAATGATTTAAATTGTAATATTTATTTTTGAAAATTTTATTTATGTATTCTCAAACAATGTCGCTGTAATTCCTGTTTCGTTACAAACCTTTGATTACAGTTATTATGAATACATTTATGTATTTTTATATTCAAATGTCTTTTCATGTGAAGTGTTAATTCAGATTTCTGGTGGAAATATTGGTTACAATTTCTGAAACGACAAACAAAAGGTTTTTCTCCCGAATGTATGCGTTGTTTGTGTCGAATTAGTTTGCATTTCTGACCATAACTTTTGCCACAATTTTCTTCATTACATTTGAATTTCTTTTCATTCAAATGAACACAACTTTTGTGTTGAAATAAATTCTCTTTTGATGTAAAACTTTTGTGGCATTCATTGAAAGCACAAATAAATCTCACATTTAAATGAATGTTATTAATATGACGAGTTAGAGCTCCTTTGTGTTTATAACTTTTATTGCATTCATTTGAATTACATTTAAATTGTTTAATTGTTGAATGAATTAAACGATGTTGAATGAGATGTTCTTTGATTAATGTTTTATATTGACATTTAGGCCAAAAACAGTGAAAATAATCATCAGATTTAGTAATGATATGACAATTGTTTAGCATTTTATCACTGATTTTACATGAATTGCAATCAATTGTTTGATTGATTGAAAAATAATCATTATTTTCGCATTCAATCGCTTCACACAAAACACTATTATTTGTATTCAAAATACACTGAATTTTGTCTATT